TCTCTCTCTCTCTCTCTGTCTCTCTCTCTCTATCTATCTATCTATCTATCTATCTTTCTCCCTATCTATCTCTCTATCTATCTATCTCTCTATCTCTCTATCTATCTATCTATTTATCCGTCTCCCAGTATATCTGTCTATCTGTTTATCTATCTGTCTGCTTCTCCGTCTCTCTTTCTATTCTCTCTCTCTCGCCCTCTCCCGTCTCCTCTCCTTCTCCCCCTCCCCCTTTCTATTCCTCATTCTTTGTTCCTCTCTCTCCCTCCCCCCCCCTCCCTCTGGCGAACCGTTGCCCAGTCAGACAGGCACCCTGGAGTGACCAGTTCCCGCCTGGGTCAGGCTGTGTAAGTCCCCGGAGCTCCCGCCTCGACTCCCTCGGGAATCATGGGAAACAAGACGCCCATGACGTCAGTAACCTTCTTGGTTGTCGCGCTCGTTGTCATGACGACTGCATTGGACTTGACCAGAGCACATCCAACGCCAGGTGAGTGCATGCTGACGTAAAGTATTACATTACGAGTAAACCAAGTAGGTGAGCGTAAGCTTAGCTAAAGATGTAAGTGAAGTGGACAGATGTAAATGGAGTAGAGATCTATGGGTGTGGCGTAAGTTGTAAGTGAAAAATATAGATGGGTATAGAAGTAGCATATTTCTTTTTTGTATAGCAGATGAAAACGATAGATGGGTATAGGATTAGTGTATGTAGCACATAAAAATGAAAGATGGATGTAGGAATCGCGTATCATGTAGCAAATGAAAATGACATGACACATATCATGTATATATGTAGCAAATGAAAATATGAAAAGAACGGGTGGGTATAGTCGTGGCGTGTGCAGCAAAGTAGAAGGATAGATGCGTAGCGAATTAAAAAGGATGGATTAGTACCTGCACAGAAGTAGAACATGTAGCAAGATTAAGAATAGATGCTTATAGGAGTAACATATTATGTTGCAAGTGAAAGGATAGATGGATGGGCATAGTATTTGTAGAAAATTGTAAATGATAGATGGATATAAACTTAGCATTAGCAGCATATGAAAGAGCAGGATAGATGAGTAAAGGTGCAGCGTATGTAGCAAGTGGAAAGGATAGATGGGCAAAGACTTAACGTGTCTGGCAAATTAAAAGGAAGGATAGCTTATTAAGCTTATCAAAACGATAGATGAGTACAGGCGCAGCGTATGTGGCAAATGAAAGGGACAGAGGAGTTTAGGCTTAGCATAATTCTGCAGCAAGTAAAGAAGGTAAACAAGTAAAGGCGTAGAGTATGTAGCAAATAAGTGTAATGTATGTAGTAAGATGGAGGGTAGATGAGTATAGATGTAGAGTTCATGTATGTAGCAAATGAAAATGACAGATGAAAATAAGTGTAATGTATGTAGTAAGATGGAGGGTAGATGAGTATAGATGTAGAGTTCATGTATGCAGCAAATGAAAAGAATAGATGAGAATAAGTGTAGGGTATGTAGCAAGGGAACGCTGACTAAGATGGCCCAAAACAGACAGAGCTGGAGATCCTTTGTTGCTGACCTAAACGCCAGATGGCGTAATGGGTAGTAAGTAAGTAAGTAAGTATGTAGCAAGATGGAGGAAAGATGAGTACAGGTGTAGAATATTTTGTAAGTGAAAAGAACATAATTTATTAATGTTATAGGTGCAAAGTATTTAGTAAGATAGAGTTTAGACATAGAGAATATATGAGTGCAGGCGTATTGTCTCACATAGCGGTTGAACCCGTTGCGAACGTAGAGGCTTGAGAGAGTGGAATAATTACCAAGAACTCAAAAGTGCCAAAGAGAAGATATTGTAAATTATAGTGTTTTACTTTTACCCCC